TTGACACAGTAGTAAAATCTTTAAATATTGTTTTCCTTGGTACTAACATTGATTTTGTAATTTAACTAGTAAATATATATTACTTTCTGTGTAAAATTTTAAAAATGCATTGTCCTACACCTTTTCGATTCTTTTTTCTTATATTTTGGCTTTGCAAAATGTCACATTACATTTATTTGCATATAAGATAATAACCATTACTGGAAGTTACCGAAAAAAATGTTTACCCCCTTTTTTACCCTATTACAAGCTTTAGTAACTCAAATTTCCAAAAATATTGAATAGAAACACCAAATAAAAAAACCACCCAAGATATATGTCTATAAGTTATTTCTGCAATGAAATGCAGGATTTAGTTCCTAAAACTGTCAAGGGAATATATTTTTCAATCCTTTTACGTATAAAACTAGATATGACGTACTATGATTTGGTGGTATTACATCTTAAAAGTAAAATGTAAATTGTATCTAAAAAGGGGAATCCAATTTTCTAAAGACACAAAACAATAATAATAACTCAAGGGTTTTTCCGAAGTTGCGTTAAGTTCATCAAGTGCCAAGATATGTTCAAATGTGACAAAATGGTCAATTATTTATAGAGGATATGATAATTTTTGTTCTTAGAGGGAGTCTTGCTAGCTCTGCTCTACTCATATCATAAGAGGATTTGCAATGTACCCGTAAGATTTCTTTAATAAATTGCTGTGAAATAGATTGTTATGATCAGAACATTGTCTCATTAACGCATACATCATCCCACACATCACAACAATTGAAATCATATGTAATACGGTCTAATAAAAATTTTTTAAAGTTTACAAGGATTGTTTAATCCAACTGTTTTTTTTTTCACATACCATGCCCCCTTTTTTTGACCTTTACAGTTTGTCGAGTTTAAATCTTGCATAACTAACCATAAAAGCAGCCATGTTTACCCATTTTTTCATTTTGACAATATTGTGTCCATCCATATCTTAAGTGTGCTGTACATCCTAAAAAAAAAGCCACACAAAGTATTTATCCGGGGACACAACTGGTTTTGACGTATTTGCTAAATAATCTTTTACACGATTTCATATATTGCCCTTAAAGTTTACAGTGAAGTAAAAAAAAAAATTGTATACCACTAAGAAACAACGTAAATAACATAAAAAATAATTATTGTAATCTTAGGAAATTGCACGATGCATTTTTCCCCTTTTAAAGTAACTTGTTTATAGTTTCCGATACATAAAGCATCTACAATTGTGAGTATTATAATCCCCGTCTAGAATATAAACATTTATTTATTTCACATTTTTTTTAATTACGCTGTAATTTGTTTCTTCCATACATAGCTGAATTAATGGATAGAAAATTGGCGACCACGATTGTTTTTTTGCAGAGCATTCTTGATGTAATTTCAAAATGACATACCTCATAAATAGTATGATTGCAACGATTTATATTTAGATCAAATTTTCCAAAGTTAAATTAAGATAGCATGTTATCATAGTTATTGAACCGAAAGAATAAAGCCTTTAATTTTCATTTATGACATAGAAAACAACAAATTCAAAGCAATGAATAAAGTGAAATGGTTAAAACCGTGATTATAAAATAAAAAAAACATTGTCAAACAATTTAACCATAACAAAATTAAAAGCGTATATCAATTAGATTATCAAACACATACGAGTTAAACATTCCAATGGTTATATAGGAAGAAAATATGTTTAAGACAATATACAAAATTCAATGCTTAACTTTCTAACATAAATGGTTCAGTAGTATTATCATGAAGTAATTTCAACTTGTTTGTTGTACAGCAAATGTCGAAAAGTTAATACAAAACCATGTTACGCATTCTAATACTCTTCAATATTAGATTACCAACAGCCATTATTATATTATATTAGTGGTATACACGAAAAAAAAATCAATTATGGAAATCATATAAAGTTTCGACTTATCTAGGATTACTGTATTCCATCGCATGACAATTATTCAATTCAGACTATTTTTATCAATAATTGCAGATAGTGAAACAGCTACACGCGAAATAATGTGCTAATGTAACGGATTAAAACATCTAGCTCAATAAGTAAATATCAATATGCGAAAATAAGTTACCCTGTCCAAAACATTATTTGGCTTTTGTTGCTCTTATCTTTTAGAACCACGTGATCATGGTGAAAGGGTCTAAGAAACATATATTCGTTTTACAATATTAATGTCGTCGTAAACAAGGATCGAACCTTAAACTATCCCCCAAGTGAGTTAAAGAATCCATCAATTTTTCATTAAAACAATTTGAAGAATATAGGGGGTTTATATATCAAAGGGATTGTTAGCACATGTCATGTACCATTAGGTTGCTGATGTGAGGGGGGTGAAAGACCTTTTAACTGTCAACAAAATTTGAGATAAAGCTAGGATGAGAATCTATCTACAAAAGTAATCTTGTCATTTTTTATGAAAAATTGGAGCCTAAAGACCGTATTTAATTTCCTTATCACAGTTTATGATGTAGATTTGAAATTCTTGATATTCCTTGGTTGTATATTTTGAATGGATTTACGATATTAGAAACCTTTAAATCAAGATTTCCGAGTGGTGAAGTTGAAGTCATTACTTCGGACATTTTACAGACGCATTCACGATTTGGTTGACCGAAATGGAATATATGTTTCATAAAAGACGACGAAAATATTCAAAAATGTTTTACATTGTTACTACCATTCCGTCTTCTTTTTCTCGAATATGACCTACCGAATAAGATTTTCATCAAATTTGTATACTTTCATATGCAACACGACGAATGTCATATGTGAAACAGGATCTTCTAACAACGCCGTAGCACTCGAGACCACCCTCGTAATTTTGAGTTACTCGTGTTGTTTGATGTTTTAGTTTACTATATAGGTTTTGTTTTGTATACTATAAGTATTATTTTACTTTTGGTATTTTTTTTGCCAGAGGGTTGTCAGTTTTGTATTGACTTGTGAGTTTGAATATCCCTTTTGAGTCTTACGCATCGCCAGTAGGATCTGGGTATTAAATAGACCCTGTCTATAAATATAATGGATCTTCTGAATATTTACATTGCTGTCAAAGTTCAAAGTTCAAAGTTCTTTATTTTCCAATTAAAGGCCCCTGACGGGATATAATGACAACAATACACAATACATTCTCATTCATAACACATAAACATTCACATAAAGTGGATGAGATTATCACGTCTATTATAGAATATATATAATCATATAAAATATCAAAACATAAAACAAGTTATTCTAATTGTTATTATTATTATTTATAAGTTAGTTTAGTTCTTTCAAGGTTTCATATCTTTGATTTTTCTGCCATGCCAGAGTGCCAATACAAATAATTTAATAATTTCATCATAGAGTTTGCTAACAGAGGTCCACCTTGTCTCTTATCCAGAAAAGCAAGTTGTAGGAATAAATAATACAAGTAACTATAATGGAAAAGAGACCAAGGGCAAATGCACTTGGACATGTTAGCAAGTATGATTTTAGATACCGTCTTAACCTCCTCGTGACTAGTTCACAAAAGTGATTTTTTTTTCTATCACCTTAATGCAAAAATCACCATGGGATTATATTTAAAGGTTTAGGCATCTATTTGTCTAAATATAATAATTACTTTTAACAACATACTTTTTATAAAAGCATTCATGGAAGTAGTTACTACATTAAGCAGTGGCAGCAATCCACAAAATTTATATTGAATATTTTTAGATATAATGTTAAAAACTTTTAACTGACCAAAATAAAACCTTTATTGAGATCATAACATTAACGTTTAGCTGTAGACCGTATATAATTATACATACATATGCATATATATACATATTCAACACTCTAGCATAGCAGTATCAGGTGCAAGTGAGGTCCAAATGCTCCCTAATTAGGATGTTCATGTTTGGCTATAAGGCAACAAATTTTACGTAAAATTTCATTATCTTCATTACCCATCATCCAAATAAATTTTTCAGGATTTTGTAATTGGGTAAAATTAGGACATTGCAAACTAATAGCATTAATAAGATCACAACGCTCAACTTTATACTTTGTACAAGTCAGAAAAAAAAGGTTCTCATCTTCTACCTCGCCAGATAAGCAATGAATACACAATCTATTTTGCCTGATAATACCTTGATATCTTCCTAACTCTATTTGAAGTCTATGAGCTGATATTCTGAACCTGGTGAAAATTCTCCTCTGCCCAAAATCTTTTATAATAATCAAATAATTTTCAAATCCAAAGTTTTGTTGCTGTCTAATTGACAACAAATCGGTTTATTGTTATTCAAGTTACGTTGCTAAAAATTGAAAAAAAAATTTTGATGAAAAGTCATCTAATGTCTATAAGCATGATTAGTGGGTAAGTAAGATTGTGTTTATTTAAATACCATATAAATCGTTTTAAAAGCTGCACGTAGAAATTGGGTCCTAGTCCTTATCCCTCTATATGCTTTGATTAAGCAATTACGTTCTGCAATTTTGTGTTAACATTATCATTATGTGACATACTGCACAATTTTGTTCAAATCACCCTTCTTATGATATCAGGTTATCAGTTACGAACTATTTGATATGAAATAAGATGTCCATTGTTTTAAACAAAAATTGGGTTTTCAACTAAGCAGATGGATCAACTGTGTGTTAGTTTAGGGTAGGGATGTCAGGGTTAGGATTGTACTATAAATTAGTATTCTATATAGAAACCATTGCTAAATAAAATTGGAACGACGATAGCAATATATTGAATTCCTTTTCATATGTAATTTCAAATTGAACAATTGGAATCAAAAAGACAGTATACATCTTACAATCTTTTAACATGTTTTACGTAGTTATCAAGTCTGCACTTCTGCAATTGAAAATATTAAATTTTAATAGTGCTTGATATCTATAACATAAATATCATATGATAATTGAGTGCGCATAATAAAGCTTTATCATTATTGTTTTGATGATAATTCCGAAATCATACCTTGATAGAGCAAAAACTTTTCCCAAAGTCTTCTTGGAAAATTTTTCCTTTAATTTGTACTGTGTCCAAAACTCTATTGTCAGAAAATTTCCTTATCACTATGGTTTGATTAATAGTTCGATAAGAAATGCTATATAAATAGCTTGATTGCAATGGTTCTATATTTAGATTTAATTTTCCAAAAACTTTATTTATATAATATTTTATTGATCCTACACAATATGTTGGTAAAGGATTAAATTTTATGCATTTTTTGTGTCAACTGTATTTAAAAGTTGAAAATAATTTAACGAACTTAATAACAATATCTTAATTCCTGTAGTTTAATACTCTAATAAAAAAATGCCACATTAACCGCCTTAATTACAATTGTTCTATATTTAGATTCCTTTCGCTTAATTATATAAAATAAGAAGATGTGGTATGATTTCAATGCGACAACTCTTCACAACAGGCGGAATTCCAGTTGAAATTAAACAAAAGAAATGATACTCTTTGTTAGAGAAGGTAAACAAGCAAAATTGGTATTTTTGAATTTTTACATCTGTTTCTATGGGCTTGAAACGTCTAAAAAAGGTGCATAGTTTAGGATTTTATGCATCTTATATGTGTGTTTTTACTTCGGTTATAGCACATGTAGTATGGTGCTTCGAGATATTTTTTAAATTATAGACAAATTTTCATTAATCAGTCGATTGTGGCAGGTTCAAATCCAAGTAAATCTTTTTTTGTGCGTAAGCATAAATTCCACCGAAAAAAATTCCACAGAAAGATAAAAGATTGATCTTTCTAAAACATTAATTTGCATCTCTGCCCCCGGCGATGGTTTTTGGGGGAAAAAATCCCCAAAAATGGGCAATAATTGCATCGAAAAGAGAAAGTCGAGTGCACCTTTTTATGTTCGGGCGTGTTTGAGTTGATTATTCTGTCTTGAAAACGTATAAAGTTATAAATTTTGATACATCATCTCGCTATAGATTCTATTATTTTTATATATTTAGGCTACAGGTTGATTTAATGATATTTAAAAAATCCACAGTTCTAAAAATGAAATATATGGGTGAAGTGAAATACCTTTCTAATGAGTCATAAAAACAGATGAGGTGTGTTCGAATAACAAATTTTTACTTAAATTACTTGACGACAGACTTTACAACTGGATCTTAAAAATGCATAACTTCAAAAAAACTTCATTTTTTGTGTGTGTTATCTAGGGTTATTAGACTTCAACCTTTGGAAAGTTTAGTGTGCCCTTCCACTAACATTTAATTAGATTTTTTTTAAATGTTTTTGAACTTTCGAAAATTTCACATGACAACCGATCAGACAATAGTTTTAAGTTGACTGAATACAGAAAAGTACATTAATGATGCTCAATATCTAGTAGATACATTTGTCTTTTAAAATACAACTGGCATATAAGAAAGGTAAAGGTGCTATGTGGATAAATATATCGGTTTTTAAGAGCTAAATTGGCAGCGCGTCATCCCTGTACAATGGCTCCCATTTTTACGATTGTAAAAATTGACTGGCGTAATGGGGAGATAATTTTGACGAAGTAGAATCCTGACTGACGAGAGACCAAATGACACAGAAATAAACAACTATAGGTCACCGTACGGCCTTCGATCTACAATGAACACCGAAAAAAAAAGACATTTACTCTTGTCTATATATGGCTACAAGGTCGTTTGTTATTTTGTAAAACATGATGAGTCGAGCTTCTTTTCCTCTTGTTTGTAAGCTTTTCCATCCTAATTCAGTTGTCATGTTCCTGACACTTGATCTATTTCTATGTCTGCTGGCTACATATCGTGCAGCTCGTCTTTGTACCTTTTCAATTTTATCTATGTGGTTTTGCTAGTAAGGGTCCCATACTGTCGTGGCGTATTCCATTTGCGGTCTTACTAATATTTCATAGGCATTCTCTTTGATGGATTTTGAGCTAATGTGGAGGTTTCGATGTAAGAAACCAAGGCATCGGCTGGCTTTTCCTGTGATGCTGTTAATGTGTTTTCCCCAATCTTAATCATTTGCAATGGTGCAGCCTAGGTATTTAGTCGATGTTTCATGCACCAGAGTATAGCCGTGGAGTTTGTAGTCCCACTTGATTGTTTTTTTCTTTTTTGTGACTGTGAGGACGCTGCATTTTTCAGGATTGAACTCAATTTTCCAAAGTTTTTCCCATTTTGTCAGTTTGTCTGGGTCTTCTTGGAGTTAATGGCGGTCGCTGTCTAGGAAATGGTCAACTAGACCACAAACAGTCTCACTGTGAAGTGTAGGCCTTCTGATAGGTCGTTAATGTAAAACAGAAAGAGACTGGGTCCAAGTACTGATCCTTGTGGTACTCCAGATTCTACTTTCACTTTGTCATGTTTCGCCTTCAACAACTACTACTTGGGTTCTGTTGGTGAGAAATTCCTGTATTCATTTGTTTGTTTTACTTCGGATGCCATAATGGTGTAGTTTATGGAGTAGTAAGCTGTCGGACACCTTATCAAAAGCTTTTGAAAAGTCAAGTATTAGCAGATCTGATTGTTTTCCGTTTTCCAGATTTTTTGTGATGTCATCGATACATTCAAGGAGTTGTGTTTCGCATGATCTCTTACTTCTGTAGCCGTGTTGTAGTGGGTATAGGATGTTATTTACCTCTGCATGTTTCATGTTGTTACTGGTGTTCTATTATTTTTGCAGCAGATACATGTTAGGGATATTGGCCTATAGTTAGCTGCTATGTATTTATGGCCTTTCTTATATGCCGGAGTGACATTTGCAGTTCGCCAGTCATCGGGTATCTTTCCTTTCTCCATTGAAAAATTGTATATGATGGTAAAGATCGGAGCAATTTCACTGGCTAGTTCTTTCAGAATCATTGGTTTGATGTTGTCTGGTCCAGCCGCCTTGTGTGGTTTTAGATTTTTCAGTTGTTTTTCCACTCCATTATTTGTGATGATTATTTGTTCGCCGTTTGGATACTTTTCCAGAAGGTCTGTCATGAGTTTTTTTTTTCTTTTCAAAATCTCTTTTACTGATGGGACATGCAGCGGTGAAGACTGATTGGAATTGATCATTTAGAATATTTGCTTTATTTTTTGGGTCAGTTTCTAATTTCCCATTTCTTCTAAGTGGTGCTACTCCATTTTTATCACTGTTATTGTGTTTGATATAGGTCAAGAAGTGTTTTGTTGGTAAACGGGTGTTCTCGTTATCTCTTGGAGTAATTATGTCTTCTATATATTTCCAAAAGGCTTGTCTTGATTTTCTTTGGATGGTTTCCTTCAGTTGTTTGAATCTTTTAACATTAGTAGCATGGTTTGATTTCTTTTTCTTTTTATAGGCTTGGTCTAGCTATCTCATCGCCTCATAAGTTTTTTGATTTCCTGGATTATCCATGGGTTTTTGTACTTAATCTTGCATATTTTGGAAGGTATATACTGGTTAGTACTGCTTTCTAGGTCTTCTTTGAACAGAGTATACTGATGTTTGTCTTCTTGTTCTGGCTTTCTTTTTGAATTCTAATATAAAGCAAATTCGTATTTTCCTTTATGCTGTCCCATTTAGCTCTTCTATACAGTTGGATTTTTCTTGGCTTTTGGTTGTTTGTCATTGGATTGGTGTTCATTTCTGCATAAACAATATCATGGTCTGAAATTCCTGGAATGACATCAAGTCTCATTATTTCACTAGGACAGTTGGTGATAAGAAGGTCCAAAGTGTTTTTATTTCTTGTTGGCTCTTGTACTAGTTGAGTTAGTCCATTGTCATCAAGAATATCTGTAAGTTGGTAGTGTTGTTCTGCATGTTGGGTTACTTGGCGTACTGTTTTGTTTGTCCAATTCCATCCTGGTAGGTCAAACTCACCCCAATCATTAAGCATGCATTGTTTTGTGAAGCTGTAGTTACAGCTGTTTCAAATTCAGAGAGTCTCTCTTTGTTTTAGGATTATAATATAAGCATATGTAGAGGTCTTTTGTGCCTTTTTGTTGTATTCGTGTCCATTTTATTTCACAGTTAGTGTCTAGTTCTAGTATTTCAGTGCTTAGAAACTTGTTGTGTATGGCGATAAGGACTCCAACCCCAGTTTTATTTTCCTTTCTGTTCTTTCGATAGATGTTATATTCTGGTTGGAATATTTGGCTGTTGGTGATTGATGAATCCAACCAAGTTTCTGTCATTATCATTACGTCTGGCTTTGTACTATCTATAAGATTTTGGACTTGGTGTTGTTTGTTTCTGATGGACTGACAGTTCACATTTAGGATCCTTAATGATACAAATGATTTATTTCTAGTTTCTTGTTTTTTCCTCTTTGGAGTTGATGTGTGTTTTGGTTTTACACATTCTTGTTGGGATGCTGTACTCATATCAAGTGTACCACCTAGTAATAAGTTAAAACTATTGTTTGCTGACATAGCTGTTGAACAATTACATACATAAGGAATTGTAATTTTGATTATCACAAATGATACAATCCCATCGCACAGAGATATTTTTATCATCCACAAGGTAGCTATAGGTTTTACTGTGAATATTTTGGCAGTTGATATGAAACCATTTGTCACAGGTATCGCATCTTATGGCTCTGTCGTCCCATGTCACAAGCTGGTCACATGTTCCACATGGGTATATAGTGCTGTCGTTATGTGTCGGTCCTGGGTTTGGATTTAAATTATTTGCATTTGCTAATAGTATGAGCAGTAAATATGATATTACTGATTTACATTTATAAGGATAAGCTGTTGGTGATTTTAGTCTATTTGTTGTTGTTAACAAGCTATTTACTGTTATATCCTGTTTTATATTAACCTCTGTATCTTCAATGTTTGACATAGCACCATTTTTTATGTTCATGATGGTGCTTGCAATGATAATAAAAACCCTCCCCTAACGTGGGACAGTGGAATAACAGCACAGCCTAAGAACAAACTATAAAAATCAGTTGAAAAGGGCTTTACTCGTCAGATCGACATAAAGCAAAAATACATCTAAATCCCCACAAAAAAAAGCACTTAGTACAAATCTGAGAGTACTCGCAATTACTGACAGCTAGCTATGTATGATCAAATTTCTTTCCATTCCAGTTTCCTCGTTAATACGATTTTCAAATAT